CGGAAAAGCACGAATAGCGGGTTTTTACCAATACTTATTTCAAACAAATATTATATCAAAAAGCTGTGTTTCCTCATGAGACCGCAGTGCATGCCCGCGTGAGTGAGTGAGTCGCACACAGTTGCACACAGCAACAGAGAAGAGCTTGACAGAGCGAAAATTACTTAACTGCATTACTATTTTTGTATATGAACTGGGTTCCAGAGGCAGTTTATAAACTTGTAGCGTACTTAAAGCGGAGTTTAATCGGTATATTATTCCATTACGCTGCATTATTGACGTCTGCAATCTGTTGCTCTCTGCTTACGTAAGTTAGTTCTGTTAGCGCGGTAATTAAGACAATAGACTGTTGACAGAGTAACGTTAACGTTCGGTTATAAAGGTTAAAACGATGCTTGTGTAGTTGTGTCGAATTGTATGCACTTATAGGAGTTTTATGGTACTTGCAGACAGCAAGATATATGCTAAGCTAGTTAACCTTAGCATTGCTTCCCATCACTCATAGATATATACATCTATGGCCGTCACTTATTAACTTTTAGGCACCCAAATAGATGAGTGAGGCTGCTGCTGAGTCATTCTTGGTCCTCCACCAGCCAAAAAAAAAAAAAACTTGCTCCAGTTCTTTGTGGGAGAATTTTACAGTCAGTGGTGCAGCAGATAAAACAGTGATACTGTATGTAATGTGTGCAAAAGTTAATCTTAAGTATATATATATTTATATATTGCAATATATATCGCAGGGAAAAAAAATATTGCAATGACAATTTTTTCCAATATCGTGCAGCCCTAGTGTGAACCTACACTGGTCTCACGGTTCGGTTCAGTTACAATTATCATGCCAACGATTCGGTTCAATGTGATATCTCGGTGCATCACGGTGCATTGACAATGCTTTCCATACACAGCTTTGTATTTTCTTCACAGCACAGCAATTCTTGTGTTAAAATGTATAAATATATTTATATTTATATACTACTTAAAATACAATTTTATCCTTTAATACAAACACACACATGTATATATATATATATAAACTGTACCTTTAAACAACATGAGCGTTTATAGCAAATAAACAAATATAAAAATCCCGCTGTCTTTCTGTTCTTTGTCTAGCAAGTTCCTTCTTACACCAATTTAATTAATCGCACGCTCAACAGAAAGGGCTGCGATTGGCTCTTACGTGTTGGTGTTGTTCACAGATGAGTAACATGGAAAAACGGCAGCATCAATCACAGCTAATTCATGATAGACAAGGTGGAGAAAACTCTGCAGACATGAGCTCATGTCTGAATCCAGAAGTATCACTGTAACAGCTGAGAGGAGAGGAAAAGTCCCGCCAGCAGTCAAATGGGCACAGTGAGAAAGAGAGAAATGAAGTTTCCTTTCATTCTCTCAATCGCAGTGAAATAGGACTTTTGCTGTAAGTGTCATTGAAAGACTGTCCAGAGAACACACACGCAGTGAAATTGTGCCCAGTTTCTGCGTTAAGTAATTGGAGCTTTGTAAATACTCGCGCTCGCCTCCCTAGCCATAGTGAGCTAGGGCGAAAAAGCGGAAATGAGATAAATAAAATGGGGTTTTCTCTGCTGTAATATTACAGTGCCTCTGTGGCCACGCCCCATCACTGCACGTTTCCTACGTAACTTGAAGGGTTTATAACATCATTAACCCAGTTGCATTTTTTTGTAGTCCTCAAACTTTGTTCAATGCTTTGCTAATCTAACTCCGTAAAAACTCCTTTGCATTGAATTTTGAGTGTCCTACATTCAAAGATGTTGTTTATGTTTACACAGCTACATCACAGAAAAACTAAAGTTTAAAATATGAAATCGTAGTGGACCACCACTTTTTTAATAAAATAAAGTTGTTTGTTTAAAGGAAAAATGAGAGTAGGGAGCCCTAGAAAATATTGTACTTATAAATTCTCTCTTGGTAACTTGGTTATTTGCCTAATGATATTTTGACCTTAAAATAGAATGTTTAATCATGTCAAAGGTGATACAAAGCGAAGAATCACCAAAGACTGGCCTTCTTAAAGAGGAAACAAGAGGCCCAAGTTGTATTATTATCACTTCTTAACACCTCCGCAAGTGGGAGGAGGGTTTTTTTATCAACAGCTATGATCAGCTATGTGGGTAAACTGGGCATAATTCCTGGAATTTCCCAGACAGCAGTATCTTTTTCCATCAGGGACTTAAGGCTGTTGTCAGATGCTGTTGGTGTTTCTTGCAAACTTTTATTCTGCTGGAAATGGGGGAAGGTCAAGACTTGGGGGTTTGATTGAGACAGACATGGCTCCATCGTTACAGGCAACTCTGGGTCACATCCATCAGCTTACTGAGTAAGCAATATGTCAATTGACTTGGTCACAAGAGACCATTGAAGTCTGACAGTTACAGTAATTCATGTGAGCCTTTATTTGCATGGCTGAGTTTCTCACATTTTGACTTATACAGCTGTTAGCTGTATCAGCTGATTGATTTAACCCCTTCAGACCTGAATTATTTTCCAAATTTCAGAAAAATGGGATGTCATGTGATGTCATTGTAATGGACGCAGGGTCTGAAGGGGTTAAAAAAAAGTGATGAGTAAACATTTTTGTGATGTCTGCATGATTAAAGACAACATGCCGGAGTTCAATTAATATTTGTTGCTTTTATTTAAGATTTTAGCTGTATGATTTGCTGTGGTTATGTAACCTTGGGGTGCAAACTGTTTTACTTAATTGATGCCAGTAATACGAACATGGCAAAACAAAAGAAGTAATTTCTCTTCTCTCTGGGATATGTCTAATATAGCATGCTTAACTGTAATGGGAAGTCAATATGCTGGAATATCCAAGCACATAAGTTTATTTCTACTTTTGATTGTGTCAGTAACAGGATAGTCACCATTTCCTTTTTGACATCATAGAATATATTTTGAGTCTGAGTGGGACTTTTGTCCATACAATGAAGATTGGTGGTAAACAAGTACAACACAACACAACACAACACAACACAGTTTCAATAGGTGTCAAATACTGTTGCTTTGTGCATGATGCTTGTGTTTGTACCAGTGCCTTTATGACAATTCCTAAAGAGCAAATGCATTGTGACAAAATGAAAAATTTGTGTTTTGACATTTATAATTAACTAAAGGACTTCTTTCTGTAATAATGACATGAGCCGACTGTAATTTACTGTAATTCACATAAAGTTTAAAGTTGATAAACCAGATTCCTTTTCTATGAGATGTTAATGTCATTGAAAAATTAACAAATGTTAATTAAGGTATAAAATACATCCAGCTGGTGTACTTTGGAATAAAGAATAAAACGTAACATGCTTATCAGCAGCCGGAAGGGCTTTATTGTGTGGAAACAACCTCCTCACATGTACTTTATTTCGCTTATGTTTATTCTTTGTTGCAAGTAGCCATGTAATGAGACACAAAATATTGTTCTGAGCCGTACTAGTGACAGACAACCACATATAATATATGTGAACATATTCATTGAAGATCAAGATTATTCGAAGTAACTGGATCACCATGGTTGTTATCTGGGAATAATGCTTTATTATATATAAGTTGCTTACACTTCATTTAATTTTGTTATGTTAATTAATCAATATGTTATGTTAATTAATTGCTGTGTAAAGTTTTGGATTGGTGCCCAAACCCGGTCCTGGAGGGCCAGTGTACTGCAAAGTTTAGCTTCAACCCCAATCAGACACATCTGAACCAAGCTGATCAAGCTTTTCCTGGTAGGAAGTTTTTCAGCTAAACTATGCAGGACACAGGTTTAGGCACCCCTGGCTTAGAGTCATTGCATGTACATATATTTTATTGTTATTTCTATAGCAAGTTCATGTAAAGGTATACCAATGACACAAAAAAAAAGTGTCACCCAAACTTTTGGTAACTGAAACAAATTACACAAAGAAAAGATTTGTTCATGTTTAACAAATATATTAGTCACAGAAGAAGACTTTAGCAGCCTGTTAAACTGGAGACACATTAATCTGTATACGTAAATAAATAAATAATGAAATTGCCGTAGATTTTTTGGGAAAGTGAAACTGATATTTTTTTAAGCCAGGTCTCTCTGTTTTTATGTATCATGTATCACAAATCTATTTATTTTGTAAAACAATTATGTCATCACCCCATTTGTGTCAAGTCAAATACCGCTATATACTGCAATGCAACAACAACAACCACTACCAATGTGGACTACTCGCACTTGAAGTTTATGAGAATGCCCTGTCATCGGCTCTGTTTTTAGTGTATCTCTGTGGCAGAATTACAGAACCATATACTGGTCTGGCATGTCTACTGCATTGTTTTGAGTAGTTTTAGCGGTTTTGCGTATACACTGATATTTCTTAAGACAATACAGTGCTTACAGATTTTTTTAGTACAACAAAAATACATTGTTTTGAGTCATTTTAGGGGTTTTGTGTACATGGATATTTGTTGAGACCATGCAGTGCTTGCAGATTTTTTTTATGAAGAAAAAATAATGAAACTCTGGCTTGGTGCATATTCAATGAAAGTTAGTATAGATTTAGATTAAATATTGCAGTTTTTAATTAATTCACTTAAATGTAAAAACAAAACAAAAAACAATAAAGGCCTTATGGAAGCCTTTGAACAGCAGAAAGTTCACAAAAGAATGCAGATTTTATTTTTAATAAAAGTGTAACTTCTCTTTCTAAACTAATGTGGTGCTGTAATTTATGTTTCCTGTGACTTTTAATGCCATTCTGATTGTGTGACCGGACAGTTTAAAAAAAAAAATTGTTTTGGAACGATGCAAGGGTGAGTAAATGATTGCATGAACTACCCCTTTAAATAGGAGTCATTCATTTGTGACCACAGTGGTGGGTATGTGTTCGTCAACTTAATAATTGTATATATTTTTTATTGTGACAGAGCTGTGTCAATGTTAGTATGGGGCACATGATTGCAGAATTCTGAGGCTGTTTCTATCCTGCTTGTCTGTGTCTCAGCAGGAGCATTCAGAGCCAGACCTGGTGGAGCAGTTGCGTTCAGCGGGTAGTGTGGATGAACTCATGAGGATAGTTTACCCTACCTACCGGATCATGCTGAAGTGCCGTTCCAAGATGGGGTCGCGCTTACTTCGCAGAGAACCAAGCTCCACAGAAACAAGGTCGGAGGAGGCCTCCTTTGCGGCTGCTTTCATCAATCTTGAACTTTTGAAAAGTGAGTGACTATTAATTTAGAACCGCCAAAGATTGTGTTGGCAGTATTTTTCTGTCATTATTGTCTGACAGCCAAGAGATTTTGATGCTTGACAATACCCAAAAAAGGATCTTTAGAATGCCAAGAATGTGTCAGATTATGAACACAGCATGTAAAGCATTTCAGTGGTGGCCTTTTTTTTAATGTTTCTCTTCTTCCTGTCTCGCTGCACTTCCTCCAGGTATTGAGATAGAGTGGAGAAAGACGCTGTGCATGCCACGCCAAGTTTGTTTAGATGTGGGGAAAGAGTTTGGGGCTACAAACACCTTCTATAAACCACCCTGCGTGTCTGTCTACAGATGTGGGGGCTGCTGTAACAGTGAGGAGCTTCAGTGCAGGAACATCAGCACTTCATACATCAGCAAGACGGTGAGTCAAAGTCATTCATGTATCCACATCCACAAATCTGAAGGGCAGTGTTATTAGGAATATTGATCTAAATACTGGTATTTAAATATTGATTTATATATTTTTTTTATAAGTAAATGCAATGACCTCAAAATTCTTTATAAATTCTATTAATTAAAAAAAGTTTATATGATTAATTGTTCAATGCAATGCAGTTTTTTTTGTAATCATATGTAAGAATCCTATATCATGTAATTAAAAGATTATCAAACATTTATCATCATTTGACACTCTTTAAAATGAAATTAAACATTAAAATATAAAATAAATATATAGATGGCTATAAAGGGCGGCAAGGTGGTGCAGTGAGTATCGCTTTCACCTCACAGCAAGAAAGTCGCTGGTTCAAGCCTCGGCTGGGTCAGTTGGCATTTCTGTGTGGAGTTTGCATGTTCTCCCCATGTTGGCGTGGGCTTCCTCCAAAGACCATAGAAGCCAAAGACATATGCTTTAGATAAATTAGTTAAGCTAAATTGTCCGTAGTGTATGTGTGTGAATGCAAGAATGTACGGGTGTTTCCCAGTGATGGGTTGCAGCTAGACAGGCACCCACTGCGTAAAACATATGCTGGATAAGGTGGTGGTTCATTCAGCTGTGGCGACCCCTGATTAATAAAGAGAAAATGAATGAATGGATGTCTTTAAAAATCTGTTTAAAAAATCTGTTATGCTGATTGACATTTTAAACTTCGTTTTTTGTTGTTGTTTTTGAAACATTAAAATAGACACTTGCATTTCAAATACTTTCTAAGTTCATTTGATTTGGATGGTATAATTGTAATAATTGTTAGTAATGCATATATGAGACATTCTACCAAAAACGGTGTGGGACATGAAATAAAAACATAAATTCATTCATTCATTCATTTTCTTGTCGGCTTAGTCACTTTATTAATACGGGGTCGCCACAGCTGAACGAACCGCCAACTTATCCAGCAAGTTTTTACGCAGCAGATGCCTTTCCAGCAGCAACCCATCTCTGGGAAACATCCAGGCACTCATTCACACACACACACATATGCTACGGACAATTTAGCTTACCCAATTCACAGATAAAAAACAAAACAAAACAAAAAAACATAAATACAGTGAATAAAAAGTATTTCATGACAAAAAATGTCTAAAATAGACAAAGTATATTTATGCGAGTTGTTCTGTAATGGAATTCTTTTGGTTCTCAGGTTTTCTTTTTTTTACTATTATTAAAAGCACTTTACAAATTTACAAACCCTGTCATTGTCCCTGTCCTAAGCCAAATTGAACCTACAGCTTTAATAATTTTGTTATTCTAAAAACTGTTATTTAAAAAAAAAAAAAACTTTGAAATAGCAAGTCTAAGATGTTATCATTCACATCAGTTGATTAAAAAACATGAAATTATAAATAGATTCCACAGATAAATACTATTTTACAATTGTCCCCATGTTTCTGTAAGTCAGAAGAGATAAAACGCGTTCAATACACCTTTAAGGCTATACCTATATAGGTAGTGATATTATTTGATGGAGGAGAAACTGGCAGTGATCAAGGATGTGTTTTATCATTGAATTGTATGATTTTATGCTTGCTTTCATAATTTTTTTGAGGAAGACAAGGTTAAAGGTCAGGCTCGGTCACATTTCTTATGAGTGAAAATGTAAGTTTCTGGTAAAATGTCCCATATAATACATATTCTTTATTTTACAGAATTGTTATGTAATAGATTAGAAGAAAATATGCTTAAATTATACAAGGTTATGAAGGAAAATATAAAACACACACACACACCTATACATATAAATATATACAGATTATACAGGTTATCATGTCTGTATTTGTTTCTGTATTTGTCGTATTTTTTCCTAAATTACATCCAAACACTTATTTATTTATTTGCTTTGGTGGATACTATTGCCTAACATCTATTTAAATCTAGTCCTTTCTTTAGGTAGTAAACTTGAATAATCTTTAATGAATATATTTATAGCTTATTCGAATAAAAGTGTCTGCTTTTGTTTTAAAGCCTGCTCCCCTGTGTAGAGATGATCTGTTAAGCTTTGATTTACAGAGATGTGGATGAGGCAGGGGTTTGGTTGGGAGGTCATGGCTGTGAATTATTTGCAAGTAGGCCACCTTTAATTGCCCACTTATTTTGGGTGGGCTGACCTTAACAGGCAATGGGTTCTCCTCTTGTGATTTAAACCATGACGCCCTCCCACCAGTTGAGCAGCCCGTGCAGGTCAAGGTCTCCATGTCCACGCTACTGCGCCGGAGACGCTACACTCCCATTCTGGGCACAAAGCCTGAACAGCAGATGCAACGTGAAGATATTTCAAAATATTTTAGTAAGATTTGGATTATGAAATTACAAGCTCCAGGATTCATTGACGAAACGACTGGGTCAAGAGTAAAATATGTATCAGATGATTGCATTTTATATCAATGGTATTAAGATCAATAAGATATTTACTTTTAGCACAAATGTAGAATAATTACAAAATAGACGTTTCAAAACAGACCTTAAAACACCTAAGCGACTGAAATATTAAGATGTGGATCATGAAATTTTGTATCTTATGGTTGCATTTTTAATTAATAGTATTAGGATTAACAAGATATTTACGATTATGCACAATGTGATATAAATACAATATCAAGAGAGAGATTAAATAGACATCCAGGTTTATCTGACCCATGTCTCACCTGCAGCTACATATGTAAACTATTAATACTGCAATACATTTTTTTCTTCTTTTCCATCAAGACTGGTTGACTGACACATTTACAGAGTGAGCATGTGAAGCTTTTGGGATCACTTGTCCTGGTAAAAGCAGTTCTGCAAACATCAAAGAGAAAGAGTTTTTCCCAAGCTTTTGTCTAGATTTCATTATACCAATTCAGCATACTGTATGTTGTTGAAAGCTAGGCTGTTAATCCTCCCATTATTCTTGTTTAAAATGTTGCTTTTAACCCCAAAATGAAAATTCTGCCTTGGTTTTCTCACTCTTAGTTTATTGCATATCTTTTGAGCTTTTACTCATCTTTGGAACACAAATAAATGTACATTTTTCAAAATAAAGATTTCTGTCCCTCTACGGCAAGCATGATATTTTAAATCACAAAAATAAAAAAAATAAATAACAAATCAAGTAATTTAAGCAAAGTCTTTTAAAAGTATATGATTGCCTTATAGTGTACAATGAACAGGTTTAATGTTGGTGCTTATTCACGTATTCAAAAAAGCCAGAAGCTAGAACCATGCTTTGATTTACAGCCAAGAACAAACTTTATTGGCTACTGCATGACACACAAGAATAAATCTCTTTCTTTCTCTGACATTAAGAAAGCATATTTCCAAATTTTAACTTTTTAAAAAAGTAAATCAGCTTTAAATCAGCTAAATGGGCTTCACAGAAAACTTGATTCATTTTAATTATTAATATTTTTGACATTTTTGGGGTGATAAGAGTGTAGGAACAGAAATCTCAGCTTTCAATAATACTATCTTCATTTGTGTTCAGAAGATGAACATGTCTTATGGATTTAGACAAACATTAGTCCCTTTCACACAGTGATACCGGTAAATATCCGGAAAATTTCCGGAACGACTTTACCGGTATATTCAAAAAAGCGCTGTTCACACAGGTGAGAACGTTACGGAATTTTTCCCGGAAAAGAGTATTCACACATCCATTCGAAAATACCGGTAAATTCTGACATCATTCACCAGAAATGAGCTTTAAACGGCTGCGCTTGTGTTTGTAAACATTTGACTACATTACAAACTCTTCGGATGGATCAGTATTGAGTACAACTCTAATGAAAACATAGAGAAACACTTTCGCATGTCGAGATGTTCATGATATGTGTGTGTGCTTGCGCTATGGGCGCTCACGGGCACACGCAAAGCTTGAAGGTAAACAAACAACGGATTATCATAAACATTTTATCGATAATTATTTACACAGTTAGCATTAAATAGAAACATTATCTGACAAACATCTAGCAGCTAAAGGTGTCTGGAAAAATATTCAAAGGCTTTTATTCTCATAAATCGCACGTGAATGCGTCTGACTGTTCTGATTGGCTAAAGCAGGTGTCTCACGTCAGCACGTTCTAGACGTGCACACGCTCTTTCCGGCAATCTTCCTTCTGCATTCACACAGCACAGAATTCCGGCAAATTATCGGTAATGTTAAAACTTCTCTTTCCGGAAAATAGCCAGAACGAATTTACCGGTATTTTCAAAAAGGGCCTGTTCACACATACAACCTTTCCGGAAAATTGCGTATGTGTGAAAGGGGCTATTGTGAGATTTGGGAGTGATCTAACACCAAAATAATCCCTCTAAGATTGTCCTTGTAGTTTTGATTAATTCCTCTTTTATGTAGTACATTTTCACAATACTGTATTTTAATTTTGTAGCAAGTGAAGTTCATTTATAAACTAATTTCGAGAGGATCACATGCTTATGATTGCTTGCAGCCGGTCCTTTATTATTCAATTTATGATTCACCAATCAGACAATTCCTAAGCCACTATAAATACCCTAAATTCCATATAACAGCCATCTTCCTTTTGAAAAATCTCCCCTTCCATCCCTATTCCCCTCCTTTCCTAGATGGGTGGCACGGTGGCCCAGTGGTTAGCACTGTTGCCTTACAGCAAGAATGTCACTGGTTCTAGTCCTTACCAAGCCTGCCAAAGTTTCTGTGCAGTTTACACATTCTCCCAGTGCTCATGTGGGTTTCCCCCAGGTTCCCCGGTTTCCTCCATCCATCTAAAAACTTAACTTAAGTGAATGAACTAAACCAAATCGGCACCATGCTCTCAGTAAGTAGTTATCTCTTAAGAGCCATCACTATCAGTTCATTAGCTTCTGAAGTAGGGGAATTCTCAAGATCTATCTGAGCTCAAGCTCCCCTCTCGCCTTGCAAATGGGGGGGAGCCCTAGCCGAGGATCTTATGAGCTCAGGGCTCTCTCCCAGGACAACAGCATGCCAAACAAGCTTTATAAACAATCATCAACTAAGTGTAAACTCTTAAATATATTTAGATGTATGTGCAGATGAATAATGGCTGCATGACACTTACATGTATGTATATAATGCAGAAGAGTCTAGAATCTGACAGAGAGGAAACGGTCAAGTATTGTGGAATCGAGAGGACTGGAATATCCCATAATTTGCTTACTCATCAGACATAACAAATGTATGTGTGTCTTGAGAGTGATAAGTTAATCTAACAGGAGCTGAAAGCGGGAAGCTTAACATTCCAGAAATTTTGGAAGCTAGTTTGTTTGTTTGTCCTGCTATAAGAATTTGCTGCTTTGGTTTATGAATTATCCAGATTTCTTTTGCAACCGTTATTCGTCCCAAAAAGAACAGTAAATATAAGAGTTTGATGAGTAGACTAGACCATAAAAGACCAACTGTGAAATTTATGTCATCTATGATTAAGTTTTTGTTGTTCCAGGTCTCTATGACTTTCTTTCCACATTCATTTCTGTGCCATAACAGTTATCATCTAAAGCCTTCAAAAAGAAAGAAACCATAAAAGTTTTCTAAAAGTTAAATTTTAAGAATGTTAATGAGTGAATGTCAATCTTTTTCTCATTTAAAGCTATTTTGTGGCATCAGAAAATTGTGAATACAAAACAAGTCATATGGACCAGATGTATGATGCTTTTATTGTGTATTTATGTTTATGCTTTTTTTTTCAAAGTTTGAACAATAGATTTTTTTTTTTGCTTTTAATTTTTTAAACACCATTTTAAAGTCAAAATTATTAACCCCTTTAAGCTATATATTTTTTTTTCGATAGTCTACAGAACAAACCATCATTATACAATAACTTGCCTAACTACCCTACTTTGTCTAATTAACCTAGTTAACCTGGTTAAGCCTTTAAATGTCATTTTAAGCATTAATAGAAGTGTCTTGAAAAATCTTTTGTAAAATATTATTTACTGTCATCATGGCAAAGATAAAATAAATCAGTTATTAGAAATGAGTTTTTAAAACTGTTATGATTAAAAATGTGTTTTAAAAAATCTTTTCTCCGTTGAACAGAAATTGGGGGAAAAATAAACGGGGGGGCTAATAATTCAGGGGGCTATTAATTCTGACTTCAACTGTATGTGCTATATTTTAGCTACATATTCTCATTACCACTACTTCTAATTGCTCATTCAACATACATTCTTAGGAATGTTTCCCTATAGCTGGAGGAAGTTGTGATTTATTGGTGTAACAGTATTTGCCTGCCTTGCAAATTATCTAGCACAAGTTCCCCATTACCCATTTCCCCTTACCAGTCTGTTTGATCATACTCTAGTTGTGGTTGTTTGAACACTCAAAGATTTCAGAGAAACTCTGTGTAATCTCGCAGTTGCACAACTCATTTAAACATAAATCTTTTCATTAATCTCGATTCAGATATAATTGACAGACCACATTTCATTTTGACATCCAGCACACTCCTTAAAGATTAAGTAACCTTTCCTACGATTTCACATTTACGTCAGATAGTCTGCATTAGTCTGATTTCACTGAAAATATGACCTTTCTTCTATTTTCATCCCGCAGTTGTTTGAAATCACAGTTCCAGTCAAGCAAGGGACCAAACCGGTCACCATAAGCTTCGCCAACCACACTTCCTGCAGCTGTTTGTCAAAACAAAATTTGTACCGACAGCAGCACTCAATCATACGAAGGGCCCTAACAGAGTAAGTGTTCAAACACACAAGTGTTTTTCTTTTACATCTACAGTATTTTCATTTTTCTGTTGCTTTGAACGCTTAGAAGGTTTCAACAGAATGTCATTATATTCTAAAACACATGTCTATTCCAGGTGAAATATTTGATTGCACTGCAATTACTTGTGTATGGGTATACTGAACATATTAAAGCTAGAGTTTCAAATCTATTTCAAGTCACGAATGGAACACCTTATTGTTGCAAAGACAATGATAATGATGATTGTATATTCAATTTTGACACTATTTACCACGTTTTTGTAACATTATGCTGGTTATGTCTGGTATGACATAATGTGACATCTTGAATGAAGATATAAGAACTTGCGCACATTTTAGCTCTGTTACAAAATCTAGCCTGCCATGTACATGCAAAGAAAAAAATATATAATGGAATTTTCATGGATAAAAGCTATTTGAAGGCAAAGTTTTACTAGTTGGTTACTTGGTTTTTTCATTTTGAATGGCAGGAAGATGTTTTAGAACTGATAAAGAAGCAAATTTCAATTAAGGGCGCATTCACACTATGCTATTCGAACCGTGCCCAGGCCCATTTCTCTGATAGTTTGAGAAGTGTAAGTGCTCTGAATTTGGCTCAGGCGGTTCACTTGGACTTTGGCGCGGTACGCTTGTGTGTGAGTGCAAAACCAGCCTGAGCCTGAAACTGAAAGCGACACGTAACTTTTAAGGGACTGTTTTATATGGATTTATTATTCATTCTTACTGTTCAATGAACACAAAAACTGTCGTAGTAAATTAAAGATGCAAACCCCTCACTGCACCACAGCTGGACCTAGAGCAAACCTCCTAATTCCTGCAACACGAGGACTTTATGATTGTTTATGAGCGTCAAAAGTGGCTGATCTCTTCGGTGAAATATTTGACTGCGTGTCACTGCATATCAAATGACTAAAGTGATATAACTGAAGAAATCCTTAGTTTCCTAAGCGTGCCCAGACCCGAATGTAATGTGAGTGCGGGCCATCGGGGAAGACGGGAGGGGGGACAATCGTGTACAAAGTGTGAGTACACCCTAAGTTATGATTATTTGACCAAACCATAGAAGCTAATGTCCTAATAATCTAGTTAATACACGGTAAAAGCAAATATACATGCAAATATTTGGTTAAACTACTTGTTTAAGCACCTACATTATAAAAACTATTTTTATTCAAAACTTGATGGAAAAGTTCAATGTACAGTTGACATTTCTCATCAATCATATTAAAGGTTTGTTGCTTTATTAAGATTTTCACTATATATTCTGAGCGCTTTTTCCTTCCTGATAAAAAATATCCTATGGTGAAAATCATCTTTTGTAAGCTGTTTGGACAGAACTGTGTGTATGTACAGTATAGTGTGTCCACTGTCATATTGGGGTGATATAAAGACAATAAGTTTCTTTTTTTTTCTAAAATCTTTTTAAAAATTTTCTAATGTTAAAATAGGATACAAATCCTTCCCATTTTGAGGCCCACAGCAACTTAACGTAGGAGTCTGGATTCCCAACCGACCAAATTGATTGACAGTTTCATATTAACATGTCTCCATAGCAACGAGTATAATCATATCAAAGCAACTGGGATTAAAAGATCTGTTCAGCTTGCTGTGATTTTCAATCATCATCAGATCAGATCTGATCAAGAATGAGATTTACAAGTTTAAAACATGTTTAAAAAGAGTGCATGCTTATAATAAAGACAATAAAATTGCATTTATTCATCAGAACAGCCACGTCAGCACAATTATAAAATTATAATTATAAAATTATAATTTTTATAACAATTATAAAAAAGACACTTCAATTGCAGTTTGTGGATGTTAAATCAGGTTTATTTTGTACATTAGCATAACGTATATCCATACAGCAGTGGATATTAATGTGTCCTGTCACATTTGCCATGCAAAAAGAGTTCAAAGTTAAATGCGCACTGTGTGTGTGTGTGTGTGTGTGTGTGTGTGTGTGTGTGTGTGTGTGTGTGTGTGTGTGTGTGTGTGTGTGTGTGTGTGTGTGTGTGTCTGTGTGTGTGTGTGTGTTTGTGAACTTTGCAATGACATTGTGTGTGACTCATCATTGCAGAAAGGCTTGAATTAACTCCACAAAAAAATACATCAAATAATCATTGGGAAAGTTCCTACTGTAGTATTTCTCACACATGTTACGTGAGGTCTGCTTCCTTCATGTCTGTCACTGTACTGTTTATCTGATGCAGCTGAGGTAAAGATTGAGGCACACTCTGACAGGCACATGTGAACGGTGGGCACATTGTATTCAGAGCAGAAAATGTAAATATTCTGAAAGGTATAATAAATAATCTGATTGGGTGTTTTGAGCTGAAACACATTGTGGAGACACAATAGACTTAAATCTTGAAAAAGGGGTAAATAGGTGCCCTTTAAATGCTGCTTTGGATGAAAGTGCATAATTGTAGATGTAAATTTTCTTTAAACCATTTGTGTTTCTTCACACAAATCTTGACTGAAATGAAGTGCTGAAGTGTGAAAACGTACTTGCATATAGTGCAGGATACCCTGATTAAAGGGGTCCTACATAACAGATAAAGCATCTTGCCAAGACATTCAAGATGTTGATTTTGGCTCCAAGTAGCATCTCATCAGCGGATATGTGGCTACACTGATGTGTGTATTTTGGATGTGACTGTAGGCCCAATGACGTACAGTAGCTCATCAAATTGATTTTCTTACTAGTAGTGTGGTGTGGCCACCCATTGTTTAAGCTGACAGTGATCTTCCTGTGCAAGTGTTGTTGTAGGAATTTCGTCAAGCAGGAAAATCCCAGTAGGGAATCTTAATGAACTTACCATGCAGTGTTTGGACTTGATTAACTAATCACTACTGACAAGTGAACTACAAAGCCCTTGGTTTTTAGTGTGTGTGTGTGTGTGTGTGTGTGTGTGTGTGTGTGTGTGTGTGTGTGTGTGTGTGTGTGTGTGTGTGTGTGTGTGTGTGTGTGTGTGTGTGTGTGTGTGTGTGTTTGTGTGTGTGTGTGTGTGTGTGTGTGTGTGTTTGTGTGTGTGTGTGTGTGACTATATTTATGTTATTTGTAGTATGTTATTTGTAAATAAAAAGGAAACAAATGTAATTGATCATTCTGGTTGTAAATAAGGTGGATTACAGACAGTATCCACTTTTCTCCATTTTAATATAGTGATAGCTAAAAAAAATGAGCAACAAATTAGGAAATGGTTCTTGAAATACTCAGATTTTAGGATGACTACTTAAGTTGGAATGAACTCTTAAGAAAGTATCTATTGCTTGCTTAAACTGCGGAACATATTGTATCATCTTCAGCGTTTCAAAAATATTACATTTGAAACGGAGCAACACTGACGACCTTGAGTTTTAGCCACTAAAGAAAATCGAAGAGACATAAAATGAGTCTAAACATTGTTATTCTCCATTCCCAAACTGCCTTTTTTATTTTTTAAATCACTGATACCTTTGCCCTTTCCTTTACTGTCACTGTGAAATATAGTGGATTCATTCTAATGAGAGCAGAGTCGAAGCACACAGCAAGAACTGCAAACCGAAAAAATAGCATGAATCAACAGTAAAAATGTACTCTTTTTTTTTTTTGCTGCATCAGCTCAAAAGTACATCTGAGCTGAAGTTTTCAGGAATGCAGCTCAACATTTTTTTTCTTGGCTTTTTTATTCTATGGAACTCTTAAACGTTATTTAAAAGTACATTCAGTTCATCATTTCATGAAACTCATACATTTGCTTACATGCTCTAAACCTAATGTATATGAACTGATCAGTAAAGCATTAAGCATAGCTGGTGGATGTTTTAACGGTTTTATAAATATTTCCAATCATAGCCAATCATAGCTTTTTTGTGGCTAAAATATCGCATTTGTAGATTTGCTACCTCGAGCAGAGGGCTCCCTCCTGTTTGTAGGGCGAGTGGGGAGTTTGAGCTCAGGTAGATCTCAAAAACTCCCCTGCTGTTTATAGCTGATGAGCAATTAGGGATTGCTATCAAGAAATAACTACCTACTAGGAGCGTGTCTATAACACTGATTTGGATTAGTCAAATTAACTTAAGTCACATGTTTTTGGATGGTGGGAGAAACCGGGGACCTGGGGAAACCTACATGAGCTTGATGAGAACATGAAAACTCCACACAGAAACGTTGACTGGATTGGTAAGGACTAGAACCAGTGATGTTCCTGCTGTGAGGCAACAGTGCTAACCACTGGGCTGCCTATAAACTTCACTTAATGAATGCTGAGCCTCCACAGAGAAAGATACATTTTTTTTTTGTTGCATGTTAAAATCTGAATTCAATCTGATATTTATTAATGACTAAGTAATATATTCAAGTTCTGTTGACACATGACACACACACTTAACCAAAAATGGTAGAACCATCTGAATGAAAAATATTTTAGAAGTGACACAATTCCTTTCCCAAAACAAAAGTTAAGAGTTCTCTAGATTTCAGGAATGAAATGCAAATACCAATTACTAAACACTACTAAACCATTACACATGTTATTTTTGCAGAGTGTTAATGCTGTTGTTCTAAAGCCATAACTCACTGGAGTTATTGCAGTGGCTGTGCTGTCATATATTTGTATCCCAATAAACAATGTAGTGTAAACCTACAGTATGTTTTTTTTTCTTGCATAAACACTAAAGGTGCTGATTGCATAAAACCTCCTCTAAGTGATCTGCAAAATACTGGCTTGAATAGAATAGAAATTCTGGGTCTGTTTTCTTTTCATTATTTTTTTTAAATGAAGCACATCCAGATTTCAACCCTGCAATGTCCCCTTACATATTTTGTGTAAATGTTTATCATTTTATCCCCTCACAGAATGAAGGATTAGCCAATCTGCTTGTTCGTGACAGAAGTCGATGTGCTAAACAGTGACTCATTGGCACACAGACTTTGAGGAAAAGGAGAAAAAGAGTGAAAAAGACATGTTAATAATGCACGCTTT